TCCTTGGATGGCATTTTACCTTTAACTCTACATCTAGTTGTTGTTTTCCATTCATATCCAATAGTTAAAAAAAAAGATTACTTTTCAAGTTTCAGTTACACCCTTGTTACTAAAAAGTGTCGTGGAATCTAAAGATTCGATACTCCCAGTGGGCAGAGCAAAGATAGCCCATTGTGTAGCTTTGTGCTTAATGATAAACAAATGATGTTATTTAAGATTATTTATGATCATCGCCTATATTATGTAGCATGATAAATCAAAGCTTATCTTACTTTGTCACTACAAGTACAAGATTGATTTTTAATCGAAAGAAAACAAACCAGCAATCTTGAACTTGCCGGTGAACCAACTGATAATTAGCAAGTTGGCTATTTTTTCTTTCAAGCCAAAAAACCGTGTTTTTTATTTTGTAAAGAATTTAGCTTCAAACTACTGAATCTAATTTAGAAATTTTAGAAAAAATACTCCTTTTAGAAATTAAACTCGGAAAAATGGTGATAAAAAATTAGAATAAATTAAAAAAAACGTAACATATGTTATATATATATATATATATATATCATGGTGATTAATTTTTCAGTGAATTTTTGCGCAAAACTACATAAGGACTATCTATCTTGAATTGATAGATTAGATGGAAGGCAACTATTTAAAAGCACCCTCTCCAACTCTTGTGCCACTCCAACCAAATAGTGGAATTTAGCGGTAATTCGTGTAATATATTAACGGTCCCAAAGTGATATGTGAATTTTTGTGGCATTTGGATATGAACCAAACATAAGATAAGATAAACAGTTTCAGTTTAACCACCAATTTAGTGTGAAGGATAAGCTTGAGCTTGGGATAAGACGAGGTCCATTCACAGCTGAACTGTTGACATAGCAACTCGGACATATACACCGCTCTACCTGCAGACGAGATTGGTTTTGTTTGATTCCTGTCAGAGCATAAATTGTTTCCTCGCACAGGTATTTTGATGTGAAAGGCAAATACATGTTCATCACTTTTCTTGTCAGGTCAGGGTATTCTTTGCGAACTAGCATCCAGAAGTTCCCAAGAGGTTTTGACTTGAATTCTGCCTGAAGAGTTTTATCATTGGATAGTTCAATGAACTTTTCTTGAGCTGCCTGTCATTGGCAGATGAGAAGTTATACTGCCATTATTAAATGGATTCCGGATCCAATCGTGTTCTCCCGTTAGTTCTTGGAATTGATCGGCAAACTGACCCTGAAGACCTTCGAGATGAAAAGAAACAATATCACAAATAAGAGCATAAGGCAAGGAAATATTTCACAGTTTCCATTCTCAAATTGACCTTTCCACAGGACAAATGTTTTGCGAAATGCAGATACTTTGTTATTCAACTACAAAATGTTGCTATTCAGACCTTGAAGGGACAAGTTAAGGTCGTTGAGTTTATCGAAAATATCAGCCAGGTAGCACAGTACAAGAAGCCACTTTACATCCATAAAATGAACTGATAGTGTAGAGTTGAAGTCTGACAAAAAAAAGATACTACGTTCTTCTTTCAGCTTCACAATGCGACTGGGTGTGTTCCCTATGAGACCTTTCAGCTTCACAATGCGACTGGATGTGTTCGCTATGAGACCTATCAGCTTCACAGTGCGACTGGGTGTGTTCCCCATGAGACCTTTCAGCTTCACAATGCGCCTGGGTGTGTTCCCCAGGAGACCTTTCAGCTTCACAATGCGAC